TCGGCACACAATTTGACTTTTACTATTTAAATATAGCACATGTTTAAAAAATGAAAGTTTTTTTAAATCTCTTCTTAAAAAAATCCAGAATCGCATTTTCTTGATTGCATTTGCCTTTTTCCTTGAGCCATACATCAAACAGCTGCGCGTTTGAAAACTCGAAGTCCGCTGCAAAAAATTAATTTGCGCAGACAGTGCGGAAAAGTGTGCATTGAGACAAACTGCCTTAAAATCAAAATTATTAGCTCTACGACATACAATTGGACGTACACTTATCAACCGTTCTGGTTTTTTTATATGTCTCCACGAACTTGAAACATATTTCCAAGAAATGTGCTTTGAGAACGTTTCCTACTTTTACAAAATATTAATAGAACACGCACAACTACAAATTATTAGTACAACCATTACATAGTTAAAACCCATGTGATTGCTATCCTTTTTAAATTTCACAAAAAGAATGTTTCGCGTTTGAATAGTGGCATTTTGAAAATAGGCTGCAAAAATATTGCAATCTTAAAGCAAGTGCTTTTCTACAGCAAAAGCTGACTTTAACAGCTGTTAGACTTAACAGTGCTATGTTATATAACATTTTTGGTATTGGACTTTACAGTTTGAAGTTTTCTTAATATTTTACCAAAAAAAACAACCAATTTTAATACTTTAAGAAAATGACTAAATACCCGAAAAATGGGAATTTTCCTCATAGTGCGTTGTACCAGTTAAGTGCGTTTTCATGAACGCCATTCACTATAGCATCGAGCCCGACAACACAACCCCTCTTCAACCAACCGTTCGCTCCCTGTGACGTTCACTCTGTCCTCCCCACATACCTTGAATGAAAACTGCATGCGTGTTTTGACTCTTTTCACTTAATAAGTACATAGATGTTTAGCCGAAAATAAACTGACTATCGGGTATCTGTAATTTTTTTTTTAATTTACCTGAGCAGTGTCGTGACGGTAGTATGAGTACGAGTAAGCGGATTTGAATACCCCGTAGATATTTTTAAGGTAACGAAGTAGGCAAAGTTCTAGCAGACACTATCTCGGACTCGTATTTTACTTTGAGGAAAGATAGTGAATGACGAAATGACGACTATCTAGAGCGAATTGGAACGATGCGGCTACGTTTTTTGTGCCATATCAGTGATATGAGATATGGGTTTCGTTTAAGATAATGAAGCTTGTCTCACAATCAGCTGTCTTCCACAATCTGATGACGTCAAATTATACCGGTACTAACTGATTCCTAACGGTAAATACCAGACGAATCAGTGGTGAGGTATCTGTATCCAAAAATAGAATTACGCCCTTATACATATGTATGTACACATACATATGTATGTATGTATGGAGAAGTTTGTGGTTGATCGCCACCGGACCAACTATATACATACATATTTATGTACATACATACGCATAGTCAAGTCAACCAAAGTCATTGTATAAAGATAGTTAAGTAGATAAGCAAAATAAAAGGAATTTAAAAAAAAAAAAAACATGTAGCACAATGCGCTGCCAACTGGCGAATAATTCCGCTGTCGAATAGTAAATAACAAATAAGAGGATCACTGGAGGATACCCCATTGTCCACTAGGCGATTTTCATTTCGACACAGTTATCTGAACCGAACCCGGCCCACTGTGCCGCCTCCTTTGGTATCGTTTGTATCCCCCTTTCATTTAGTTCAAAAAGTCGCCGTATGGCTGGTGGCGCCACTGTGATAAATAAGGGGTGTGGAGGGGAAATGCAAGAAATATACTGCTATGTACTAATCTACTAATTAATAATATTATTCCTATAATTAATACATGCAATTATTTCAGTCTTTTTCACAGTAGATGAGGATGCGGATGCGGCGGAGAGCAAGGGCGGCAGCCGCAGCACCAGCCAGCGACGTCTCACCCAGAAAACTTACGTCATACGTCATGACGTCATGAGCTTTGCACTGGTATTGGCCGCATTGGCATTGGAATTAGATACTTACAAGCCTTCCAACACATTCACCTTATACACTCGAATATATTGATTCTGATTCTATAAACTATCCTCTGCTAAATGGACGATTTGGGTTTCTATTGTGTATGAGTGGGCGTGGACAATGCGGGGGGGGGGGAGGGAGTAGCCCACTTGTTTATACGAACATACGTAGATGATATCACATCCAGTTCAGTTTCCCTGACCGCATTAGCTATCTAAATCCATTGACACATCACGTATCGTATGCACAAAATTTTTATGTTTTCTATACGTACACACAATAAAATGGTTTCTTATGTTACACGCCTAAGTAAAAACGCCGCGAAACAGAGTAACTATTTAATTTTACGAGAGAGTCGTCGTTGTTGTTTTAGCAGCTGGCCGTGTTTTAGCTATTTTTAAGATTGAGCAGCACACACCCACACCACACACTCACGGGAAAAGACACAGCGCGAGGCGCGAGGCGGCGAATATCAATGGGAACAGAGGGGTTGTTAGCCAAACCGACTCGACTGGATTTTTCTGGTTAACCACTCTTGGTATTACACAATTAATATGGATTCGACTATCAAATTTATTTGTATTTGTATTCCCTTTTCCTACAATAATGTAGTCTTTTTTCTTCTTTGTACATACATATGTATGTATGTACACATGTGTGTACACAAATGTATGTACGCTTATGCCTAATTTTTACCTAATGCATTAATATGAAATTCCCAATTCAATTTTTCCCAATTGCGGACAAACGGTATGGGATTTTTCCCAATTGCGGACAAACGGTATTGGAATTATAAAAATCCAATTGGAGCTCACTTTATAACGCAAAAATGGGCACAATATATCCGTGACGATAACGATAAAAAATACCATCCGGCCAAAAAATAAATACCATTAAATACCATTTCAGTTTCGAGAAATACCATTTGAATACCATAAATTTAAAACATAAATTCCAAAATTTTGATATCCAGTTTAATATTACTAGCTAGTTTGGGCCTCTCAGCCCTAAACAAATAATTTTATCCGATAGATACATCAATTTTTCACAAGATTGGTTAGTTTTCAGGAGTCATTTTTATTGCATTGTTTACATAAAAAGGTTCAAAGAAAAAACGGCCAAAGCATAAAACGTAATTGTTGACTAAATGTGACGTCACTGTTTCTTGTCAACCAAGTTTCTTCTATGCGTATGGCTTTTCTATACCTTATTTCCTTTAATTGATGTTAAATTTGTTGTTCCAAGCTCCATTGAAACACTAATAATAATTTTGTCCTAGATTGACATGTTTTTTATCTATTAATGCATATGTTTTGTGTTTTATAAATACATTTATCCCGGTTCTGATACCTGTTATTTGTACCCGTCAGCTGCAAAATTTCGTTTATATCTTTAAAACAGAGACTGCGTAGTTTCTGCATTAATTGGAGCCTGAAATTACAATTAGTATCTCAAGTCCAGTATATCCATTTTCCCAAGGTATTCAGATTTGTTGCTCATTTCGTGCCAAAGTTGCAGAACAATGCTGCCTTTTCATTTCCCCATGCTGCTGACATTTTTAACATACAAATCAAAGGTTTGGCGGTCATTTTGAAAAGTATCTTAATAGATTGAAAAATAAATATTTCACTTCATTTGTTTTGTCGGTGCTGTCCTGTCCTGGAACCTCAGAAATATACCGAAAACAAACTTCCTCAAAAAATTAACAAAAATTGAAATCCACCACGATTTGAAAGAGCGAAAATTTAAGAAAAAAACCTGCGTATGGCGTTTTGATACGCTATGTTATTTAAGATTGAATAGCTAAAAATTGAATTTAGTTGATTAATGAGATACGACATACCGTAAATAAAACGTGGTACTAAATTTCGACGTCATAATATCCAGAAAAATATAATACGGATATTTAATGAATTTTCCGGTATTTTACAAATTAATTTAATCCAATGATAATGGTACTTGAAGTAGGCAGATCAGGCGGAAAATGTGATAATAGTAGATTAAAAAAAAAACAGAAACATGATCCAGATGAACAAGACACTGGAACTGGCAACCAATCTTACTTTATGTCAATTCTCTCAAAATTATATTATACCTTAATAAAAATTCATCAAAACTAATTTTAATTAAATTTCTTTGTTCAATTTTAAAAATTTAATTTCGAACCGAGCCCAATACTTAGGTACACATACATACACTTTTAAGATGAGGAGCACTAATTATTAAAAAAATTGTATCTGAGAAAAAACCGAAGACGAACCTCTTCCATGCGGATATATGAAAGACTGCGGAACCTTTTTAAACCGACACCGCTATTTGTAGATGTTTTGAACAGACTCTGACAGCTGTTTGTATACATTATCATTATCTTATCAAAGTTATTCTGCACTGCGGCGTTCCGATAGTAGCGTAACGTAGCACAAACATATTCATACACTTCCAGACTAACATATTGGGCCTTGTGCACGACTTGCGTTTGCTGTTGCGTTGCCCCATGCCGAGTCCTTGCTCCTGTGCCTGCCCTTGGTTCTGCTCCCGACCTTGCCCATCAGAGTTGTCTTCCGGTTGATGCAGTTCAGTGCTGGGGATGCCATTGGCGACGCCGATGCTGTATACAATATATGCGAAGGTGGCGGCGTATTGTACAAACTGGGCGGCATCTGATGGTTGCTCTGTGGCGATGATGCAATATGCTCCATCGAGAGCGGGTGCATTGCAGACAATCCGGCTGTCTGTAAGTTGGTATTTGTGTTGGTATGTTGGTGCTGCTGCTGTTTGGCTGGCATTATGTTATCCATTGTGGGCTTTAGCTTCTTTGGCCTGCCCCGCTTTTTCTTGGGCATTTCCGGATTGGCCCCACCCGCAATCATGGAAAGAATCATAATATTATTAAAGTCGTGGTTGACCATTTGTTGACTATTCATTGTGACTTTGCTTCCCGTGGAAGGGTCAGTCATCTCTTACCCCTTCACCTTCTTGGGTCTTCTGATGTCCAAACAAATAGCTGTTTTCCCCAATGGTAGTGGTGTTTGGAACATTTCTTATGGTATTATCACCGCCAGTATATGCAAACGTTCCACGTTCATTTACATTGTTAGGAGATGGCACAATAGGTCTTATATGTGCTGCTGCTGCTGCTCACTGCATTGACGTATGCGCTGATCTGTGAATACGCACTCCGACTCATCAATGTTGGGTATAAGACCATTCAGAAAGTCACGAAACTTCTTTAGCGCCGCATAGTAGGGAACTTTATCTGCGGCGCGTGGCAGCTGAGCGCATCGTGCTGATGATGAGGGCATCACCCAAATGTACTGCAATAAAATGAATTGAATAATTAAAAGTGTTTGAGTACAGGAAATTCAATAGGAAAGTAATAAACAAATTGAATGGACATTTAAATCAGATCCTAATGTACAGTCGTTAGTCTATAGTAGGTAGATAATAACTCACAGTGTCAGTGCCATCGACACGATCAGGTTGACGACCAAAGTGAAATTCCTTTTTACCCGAGAAGACCTCGAATATCAGTTTGCCATTGAAAACGGCAACTTTGGGGCGGAATCTTTGCCGTTTTTCGAGCAAAATTCGGCTTCCCTCCTTGATTTCTTTTCTGGTCAAGTCAGCCGAGCCTTTTGTGGCACGCGCCACCATATTTGTAAAGCCAATGCCGTGATTAAGCAGCTTGTGATCCTCATCCGCGCTCATTTGCTCCTGCGTGAGTTCAGCCAAGTACAGGCACTTCCAGAAACGATTTCCGGGTCCAGCGTAGTGATGTCCCTTGTATGCCGCAAAGAGACCAGGGCTTATACCGACCTGCCAAATGTTAGTCTCTATCATAGACTTGGTTTGGGAAATAGGGTGATCGCATTTTATCCGAAATTTACAACTCACTATAACGATATCGAGGTTATCACATAGATGGTTTGGAATTGTCCTTTTAAGGGCCTCGGACATGCCATTAAATCTGTCGTGCACCTTGCCTTGGCCTTCATTCCCAGTAGTGAATCGCCAGTAGCCCTCTTTGATTGAGGCGCCCTAATTTTGGTTAATGTTTGTAACGGGGGCCATTTACTTCGAAAATTCGCCCAAATACTGGCGGTGTATAATTAACTTAATAATATAAGAGTCCCAGCCCCACCGGCACGAAATAAGTTGATGTATGCATGCTTAAAACGAAAGTATAAATATTTAAAGATATACTTAAAATCTTTTGGTATCGTTTTTGATTTTTCAGTATTCAAAGTATGCAACAATTCGGCACATCTTTTTGTTTAAATTAAACATTATTTTAGAAACAATCCAATAAAAGGGAGCCCTTAAAAGGAGCCAATCTTGTAGAAAAATAGTTCATCAATATTAAGCCGAATATCAAAATCGAGGAATCAGATTTCCGATCATAGACAGAAAACGTTTAAGTTAACCCATTGTCGACAAGTGGGCATTTTATATAACTACACACCCGAATATTTTTTATACCCGTACTCGAAGAGTTATGAGTTCAGTTCTGAAAATTTCCCAGTTATTCCACCATCCATCTGGGATGTTCCTGATTCCCACGATTCTATGTTATATTTATTCGAAAATTTTCAAATGCAATTCATTGGATTTATTAGAAGCAGTCACAAACGACCACGACCTTGCTGACTTTGGGGTTTTTAACACGATACTAATATCTCCTCTTAGTCAATGTTTGCCTCAGCAACGTTATTACATTCATAACCATTGCTAAATTATGACTTTTAATTTTAATTTTACAATTAAACAAATTTTCCACCTCACCAAATTGTGTGCATCAGCTGTTTTTCATGGATGCCAGTGTGAATCGTAGCTGGGAAGGGGTCAGTGCAGAGGGCTATTATGGTCACACTTGAAAACTATCGACTAAATATCGCATAGAAACGTGTGGATTAGGAACATCCCAAGATCGATGGTAAAATATCTCGGACACTTTCGAAACGGCAAAATCCTACAAACCATCACAGATATGGATGGTCGGTTGGAATACAAACAAATCGCAGCTGACTGAGCTACCAAATCATAAGGCACTTTTTGCCAGCAACAATTTTTCCTGATCTGGGTACTGGGCTTTAAAATAAATTAAATACGCAGTGTAAATTTTGTATAAAAGCATGCAAGAATGTATAACCGAAGAAAACGCTGGATGCAAACACTCGAAAAGCTTGCTACAAAACGGCAATAATGAAGACGATTTGTATCTAATTAAGGCAGTCGAATGAATACGGAATATGGATATTATTTTGAATTTTTGTATACCCCGTTCTCATTGTGTTAATTTATAAGGAGATAAAAAACGTGTTGATTGCATTTCTGTCTGTGAGTTGTCGGCCTTCAGCTTCACAGCGTCTACAAATTATATTTGATTGAAATGAATGGTCTTTTTTCTTTTTATCTGAGTACTAGTCACTAGAATCTAATCGGTAGGTAGTGTAGTCGCTGAAATAGAAGTTTTCCACTCTGGAAGAAAGAGAAGGAAGTGACCGCAGCGACGCAGAATGAAAAGAGAACGTTTATAATCAAAATAATGATTCGTTAAGTCTTACCGGTTTCCGAGAGAATGTATGTATATAGTAAAATCATTATATTATATTTTAGTTAGGAAGAATACTAAAAATATATTAAAAAATTATTTATACTAATAGTGATATTTTTGATAAAAATATATTTTTTTAAATATCGATGTATCAAAAATATTCACATCGCTAGTGCTTCGTTGTGTGGTGGGATATTTTTGACAAAAATATATTTTTTTAAATATCGATGTATCAAATATACTCACATCGCTAGTGCTTCGTTGTATGGTTGTATGGTGTATGTTCGGCATTTTTTTGCACATTCGAAATAGAGTGAGTAATTTGTATTAAAATAAGCTATGCTTCACTAGCATCGGTGCAATCAAGAACTCGGTAAGAAGACTGGATGATTGAAAAATGAAGCAAGTGATATGTAAACAGTTCGCACATAAAATATGAACGGCCAAGTGTGAAGCGTCCATTCGCAGCATTGCCAGGCGCAAATAGATTGTAGCGCATATAGTTGCTTTCGGTGTATATCAAATATTTTGGTATTTGTCGTCTTTGGAAAAATACCTACAAGAACCAAGCCAAGTAACTACTTAAATTTTGGATAATATTTATTAATATACATATACAAGACATATGCATATATATACAGAAAATAATTTGATTGATATTATTTTTATAAAATGCATATTTTTGATAGGTTTTGGACTATTTTCAGTTGAATACGCGGTTTTTTATGAAAAAGAATGAATCCTTGATTCGTTTGCATTCTAAAATTATTGGAATTGTCTAGTGTAAAGTGTGAAATAACACCATAACATGGAGAGTTTAGATTTCGCGGGGCCAACCAAAGGAGGAGTAGCTATAGCTACATCCGAAGATCTGAGCAAGGAGCAGATATTACATTCGGAGGGCCTAACACCCAATGATATGGATACAGAGGAAAGTTTAGAGGAAAGCAGTGCGGCGACTAACTTGTCTGGCTTTCGTTGGAAACGTGTTCTCAATCCGACAGGACCACAGCCGCGTCCGAGACACGGGCATCGTGCCATAAACATAAAGGAGCTTATGGTTGTCTTCGGCGGTGGAAATGAAGGAATCGTTGACGAATTGCATGTTTACAACACAGGTATTTTGAGTCTGTTAACATAGTTTAAAAACATATTTAAGCATTATATCATTAAAACTTTCCTGTCGTGTCTATGCTCACATTACAGTTACGAATCAATGGTACGTGCCAGTGCTCAAAGGAGATGTCCCTAATGGATGCGCTGCTTATGGTTTTGTTGTTGAGGGAACTCGGATGTTTGTTTTCGGTGGAATGATTGAATACGGAAAGTACTCAAACGAGCTTTATGAGCTCCAAGCGACCAAGTGGGAGTGGAGAAAAATGTACCCTGAATCTCCGGACAACGGCTTATCACCTTGTCCACGCTTGGGGCACAGTTTCACAATGGTTGGCGAAAAGATTTTTCTCTTTGGTGGACTTGCAAATGAATCTGACGACCCAAAAAACAATATTCCAAAGTAAATAATAGTTTCCCTAACCTGTGGACTCTGTAACAAATTGTTTTGTATTTGACCAGATACTTGAATGATTTGTACATACTGGACACACGGGGAGTTCACAGTCACAATGGTAAATGGATTATACCAAAAACATATGGCGACAGTCCACCACCTCGCGAATCCCACACCGGAATTTCCTTTTCCAGTAAAAGCACTGGAAAATTGAACCTATTAATTTATGGAGGAATGAGTGGCTGTCGTTTGGGAGACTTATGGCTGCTCGATACTGGTAATAACCCTTCACTTTATTAGCAATTGCCCAAGGGTTCTCATGGAATCGTTTCAACTATTTATCTTTAGATTCAATGACTTGGTCCAAACCACGCACACTAGGACAAGCGCCACTACCGCGCTCATTACATAGCTCAACAATGATTGCCAACAAAATGTATGTTTTTGGCGGATGGGTTCCCTTGGTAATTAATGATTCCAAGTCGACAACGGAGCGCGAATGGAAATGTACAAATACGCTTGCGGTCCTTGATTTGGGTATGTAAATAATACTAAATACTTAAGCCCTGCATGAGCAGGCAACCTAGTTATAGTCAACCGATTTTTATACAGCTTTTTGCATGAAAACCAAAACTGCAGCTTGTTGATTTTTTGTGGAAACACTACCGATTCTATGTATGGTCCAATTTAACTAAATCTGAATGAGTTTTGTAAAAACAGCTAAACACCCTAATTTGAAAAAAAATTTTAGCTTACGGGAATGTTGGCCCATTGATTAAAATCGATGAAATTATGAATAAAGAATATTTTCTTAATATTTTGGATTGAATTTTAACTGGTCTTGAACACTAGTTTTGCAATTTTGTAACCCATGTCCAAAACCTATTTCATTTTTTTGTAAGGTTACGCCAGGACCGTCTGCAAGTCTATACAAATTATACAATATAGTTTTTTTTCTCTTTAATACGACTATTTCTATGGTCCCTATGGCCCTATGTAGAAATGTGGGGGAAAGCGTCTCCAAAATTACCCAGGTTATACGGTCCCTTGAGACAGTACTCTCGAATTCCCGGTCCGCGGACAGGTATCGTTCCGTGGATCTTTTGGTACCGGCCGATAAAATATATTTTATTTAATATTTAGTTTTCGTAGGCGGTAAGGACCCCGTAATAATTGTTCCGCACTAAAAATATGAAAGTTGAGCACGCTTGTGCTTAAGCCATACTTGTAAGATCTTAAAAATATATTGGAAATGAGCATTTCCAAACTGCCGTGACTTATATTGAGAAAAAAACGAACGTACGGACTCCTACGCTAAAATAAGCTCTGTCGTTACGTTGGACTTCAAGACTGGCGAATGTATTGCAATTAGTTCAAATAACGAAGCTTTGTTAAAATGCAATAATTCGGCTGCTTGTGATCGACATCCATGCGCAAAGAAATTGGTTAAATGTTTGGAGCCCTCGGAAGAGGGCTACCAAAGAAAAAATAGCATTTGTAAAGGTCCTCAAAATAGCCATTTTTTGTGAGATGACTTCATCATTGGACTCAAATCTCTTTCCGCCTGGTTTCTACAGGTTTGGAAGCAAGAAATAGTCAGTAGGGACTAAATCCAGATAACTGGTTGGGTAAGGGAGCAATTGGAAGCCTAATTCATGGACTTTCGCAATGGAAACTGCACATGTGTTTGCCCTTGCATTGTTCTTGTTGAAAGATTTTTTCTGGGCCAAATACGGTCATTTCTTTTTCAAATCCTCATTAAATTGATCCAATAAGTTGGCATAATATTCGCAACTGTCTGTTTTACTTTGGTCTCTGGTGTGTTGTGGTGAATCCACGGCCTATCCGCGGCAGCCATATTACGGAAAGCTTTTCCTATCCAAGTGATCATTCAAAGGTGAACCCACTGAGCCTATGGTTTTCAGAATCTCTTGCAATTTCAATCTCCGACCATCCAACACCATATCGTAAAATTTCAAGTTCCTTTTTTTTTTTGAATAGGACCTCAACTGGGCGTCAAGGATGTGCGGCATTGTTTTGTGCTTGTACGGGTACAACGAAAAAGAGTAACACCTTTTTTTTAC